GCAGAGCTGAGCTTATTTTGGAGACTTTAGGGAACAATCTGCTTTCTTGCCTTTTCCAGCTTCTAGAGGCTGCCTACACTCCTGGGCTTGTGGCCTTGCATCACTCTGACCTCTGCTTACATCATCACATCGCTTCTGACCCCGACTTTCTTGTCTGGCTCTTATATGGAACCCTTGTGATTACATTGGGCTCACCTGGATAAGCCAGGATACTTTCTCCACCTAACTCAATCACACCTGCAAACACTCTTTTGTCATATATTCACAGGTTCTGGGGATTAGGGCATGGACATCTTTGGGGGCCATCATTCAGCCAAACACAATGGGCTGGAATCCCAAATCTGCCAATTACTGTCTATGTGACCTTGTTCGGACTGCTAGGATGCCTAGTTAAATTTAAATTTCAGATAAAACAATGAATAACTTTCAGTATATTATACTAATGATTATTCATTGTTTATCTGAAACCCACTCAATTTTAACTGAGTGTCCTGTGCCTTTATTTGCTAAGTCTGGCAATCTTAGTCCTTGGGCAAGTTACTTAACGTCTCTGTGCCTCAGTTTCTGCACCTGTAAAGTAAGGTTAGTGAGTACTCACCTCATAGGGACTGTTGTGAGGATTAGAGCAGTTAATATCTTTAAATATTTAACTTGGCACTTGTAAGAGCTGTCAATGTTATTATGGTTGTTGTTATTGACATTTATAACACTCTAGTAGCCTCAGAATAAAGAAAGTCTCCACCATGGCCCACAAAGCCCCGTGGGATCTCCCCCTGTTCCTTCTCTGGCCTCATCCGCCCCTCACTCACTCTGTTTCAGCCACACTGGCCTCCTGTAAGTCCTTCTACTCACTGTGCTCCCCTCCACCATGCAGCCTTTGCCCAGGCTTTTCCTTTTGCCTGGAAAATTCTTCCCCGCACTTCAGATCTTAGCTCAAATGACCCTTCCTTCCTCCCTGACCATCACCCCTGGTGTCCATTCTCAGAGGGCCCTGCCGTTTGTCTTCCCAGCAAACTAAGCTGGTCTGTGAGGGCAGGGGGCTTGCTCTAGCACTGTGCCTGGCTCCTAGAAGATGCTCAAGAAATGTGTGGAATGAATGAAAGGTAAGGGGACTCAAGCTGCCCTTCTGTGTCTGCAAAGATTTCACGGAGCAAAGGCCTCACTTGCTGGGTGGGGACCTGTCATACATGAGCATGGGATGATTTGTTCCAGAGACAGTGGTGTGTCCATTCCTAGTGGGAGCTGTAGGATTCGGGCCACAAAGCAGGGCACTGGCCTTGAGGATCTTTTCAAGTTCCAAATTCCCTAAGACCAAAGGTTTCATAGTGTTCAATAAACACAAGTTGGAATAAATGAGCAGTTACCATGCCCTATCATAATTTAAACTACAACTCCCATGAGCTCCATGATGTGAGAACACCCCAGTTAACTAACACCACCTGCTCAAGATGCTACTGGGAAATGTAGTTTTTTATTTGAGTCCTTCTCGAGGGGAGGGCGTCTTAAAAGAGCAGAGAGGTTTAGGTGAGTGGGGGGCGGTGATGCAGATTTTTCATCTAAAATCTGACCTGATTTTCCATATCTTAAAGTCAGGGGCTTAGAAATCTCACACACACACACACACACACACACACACACACACACACCCGCCCCCTAGTTTTTCACCACGTCAAAGCCCTGGGACGGCAAAGAATGGCAGGCAAACTCCAAGCCGCATCCGCAGCCAGCCAGGGGCCACGGGGGCACGGGAATTGTAGTACCACTGCAAACACCTGGCTGGAGAGCAGGGCAGGCCACTCACAGGGCTTTCGGTCGCGGGATTCTCCTCCTTGGGCGCCCCCCGCTCCAGGGGCACGGTCAGAATAGCGCGCAGCAGCAGCAGAAGTGACAGGAGAACGAGGGCTGCACGGGGCCCAGCGGGAGCCATGGCGGCGTGGTCTGTGGGGGCGGAGAGGTGGAATAAGTCTGTCCCAAGCCGCCTTCTCCCCTGGACCCAGGAGTCTGGACTCCCGGCGCCGCTCCCTGCCCTCTTCCAAGAATCAAGACGCAAAGCGTCTCGTTTCCCGGGAGCCAGGATTCCGAGCCTCCAGCCTTTCCTTCCTCAGACCCAGGAGTCCTGGCTTCCAGCACCCTCTTCGCTTAGACTAGGATTCCGGGATCTCGACCCCCTCCTTCCCCAGACCCAAAGGTCCAGGGCCCCAGCCTCCTCTTTTCCCAGGATCTGGAGGTACTGGTGTCCTCCGAGACTCAGTTTTCCAGCCCTCCGGTGCCCCGCTTCCCTTCTCCCCAAGACCCATGAGTCCAGGACCCTCCAGCCCCTTACCTCTCCTTCACCGCAGAGGGCGTTTTCCTGGGCTAGGACCTCCGGTGTGTTCTCTGCGATTTCCCCCCTAGGCCGCGCCCACTTTCCCCGCGGAGGATCCGCTCTCAGCAGCCTGATTGGTCCGCGCTGGCTCCAGGTTTCGGGCCCCTGTCTAGCGGCCCCGCCCCTTGTCGAAGTCGCTGGCCTTTTCTCGAAAGCCGAGCCTCCTTTCTCGGAAGCCCTACCTTTTGACGCCACATACCCTGCTTTTTAGGCGAAAGAACGGAGACTTTCAAAGAGAACTACAACTCCCTGTTGGGCCAGGGGAAAATGAGTCAGCTTCCGCGGGCATCTTGGCCTCTTCGCCTCATGGGAGTTGTAGTTTTCCCATTTATTTTCTCTCCTAGAAGTGGCTGTAAATTACAGATCGGTAGTAGTTGGGACAGGTCACGTTATAAGTTTCTTATATAAGAGAGAGTTGTAGAGCGAGCCTGCGATGCGGCCTCTGTCTGGTCCCTTTAAGGAACACCTGCATGCTCCTCCAATTCAGAACCCCTGGAGCAGGGTTGCCTGGCTACAGCAGAGGCCAGGGGTCGTTGCTTTGTTGGAAGTGGAACGTGGGGAGCCAGGAGGGAGGGGATTAGGGCAGGTCCCAGTGGGAATCCCCCCTCCCTCTAAGCCCTCTTTTTCCCCCCTGCTTACTTCCCAGAGACCCAGAGATTATGTCACTGGTTCCTAAAGATAGGGTCAGTTATGTTTAGAAATTGGCCAGAGAGGCAAGGAACTGAGGTGTGAATGTGAAAAGCCTCTCCAGGCACGAGAGGAGGAAAGGGAGTCTCCAGGATCCTAGGCAGGTGGGTGCTGGGGGTCTAGGATCACTGGGGATGGGGTGTTTGGGGTCCAGAGTCCTGAGTTCTCATGCCTGGGTGAAGGAGAGAGGTAGGTATTTGGGGAAGAGAGAGCTGGACTCCTGGGCTCCTGGTAGTGACGAAAGCTGGAAACAGGCTGCTGGGTCCCTAGCAAGTGTTGGTGCTGGAATTCGGGCTGCCTGGGTCAGGGGAAAATTTAAAGCTTAAGATCAGGTGTTGAAGGGAAGAGTCCATTGGGATGTTGGGTCTGGGTCCTGACTCCTTATTTTGCTTCTCCAGGATGTCTCAGGAGAATGACACATGGAAGAAAGAGTGAGTGGGGGAAATGAGATGGGCAGGGGTGGAGATGGGGGTGCAAGGGGGAACTCAAAGTTTGATTATGCCCACACCTACTCAGCTCTGGTCTCATAATGATGTTTGCAGGTTCAGCACCATTGGCCTTGCAGGAAGGGCCTGGGGGCTTGGATTTACGGGTCCTACCTAAAGGGAGGGAGCTACAAATGAGGACTCCTGGGTCTGAAAGAGGAAGGGATGGGGGGGTTTGAGTCCTGGGACAGGAGGGGCCTGGGATCTCTGACTCCTGGATTCTAGACAGGCCGGTGCTGTGAGAAAGAGCTTCAGAACTGGTGGAGCAGGCTCAGGTTCTGCCTCTTCTGTGTCCTCACAAATGTTCAGAACCCTAAGCTGGTCAGGGGGAAGAAGGGGAGGGGCTCTTGGGCAACCAGGGTGCCCTGCTTGCTGTCACTATGAAACTGCACCTCTCTCAGGGCCCTGGGGGATGAGCTTGCCGCCATGAGGCTGCAGAAGCTGGAACAGCAGGTACTGTGCTAAGGAATCCTGCCACCCCCGACTCTTCCACCTTCCATACCTCCCCAGGAGCCCCACCCCCAGGACTTGCTCTGGGACTCCTGGTCTTCGTTGGTTCTCTGGAGCCTCAAGTTTTGCAATTGGGAAATGAGAAAATAGGAATTTGGGACCCTCAAGAAGCAAACCTTGGTGATGAGACTCCAAAATTTCTAAGGAACAAGGGTTCTGGAGAGCAGGACTCCTAGGTCCTGGGGGAGGAGGGGCCTGGGAGCCAGGACTCCTGGATCTAAGGAAGGAATTGCTGAGGGACTGAAGGCCTGGAACTCTCCCACCGACGCAGGACGCCCCTTGCCCCAGGTCCCCTTTCACCCGTGTCTTCTGGTCCGGTTCCAACCCTCCCATTCCCGCCCATACACCCTTTTCCCGCTCGCGCAGCGGCGGTTGTTTGAGATGAAGCAGCGACGGAAGCGCCAAGAGCCCCTCATGGTTCAGGCCAATCCTGACGCTTCCCTGCGGCCCTGGCGACCGCGGCAGCGGGAGGAGCGCTTCTCGGGTGACAGCGGTGAGGAAAGGTTCCCAGGGTCGGGCAGGAGCACAGCCCTGGAGGGAGGGGTCTGTGGGAGTGCGGAGCCTAAAGGGCTTAGAGGGGAAGGGCCTGGCGGAGCCCTGGGGCGGGGACTTGCAGAGCACGAGAGCAGGACCTGACAGCACCCTTGGGTGGAGCCCAGGAGAGCCTGAGTGCACGGCCTGTGAGGGCCCAGGGGAAGGACCTGTGAGAGTTCGGGTGCGGGGTCCGGGAGAGCGCGGGTGCGGGGTGTGGTGCAACTAGAGGTGGGGCCCGAAAGAGTCCTGTGATTGGGCTTGTTAGAGCTCCGGGGCGGAGCCTGGGGGAGCCGGGGACCGCCCAGAAAGTGCTGGGGCGGAGCCTGGAAAAGCTCCGGGTTGCAGTTAGGCAGAAGAAACCTCACTGCTGAAGTAGGCAAAGCCCGAGGGCCGGGACTGGGTTATTTAGAGCCGAGGTACTGGAGAGCCCGCGTGGGATTGTTTACACGCGGAATCGAGACAATTTAGCGGTAGGGCTGTGCTTGTTTGAGTCTTGGGATGGAGTTAGGGTCCTGAGTGGGTCTTGGGGGTTTGGGTAGTCAGTTAATCAGGGACGATATCTCGGAGACCATTGAGGAGGCGGATCTTCTCAGATGACCGGAATTTGTACATCGAGTTAATGGGCCTCGCCCTACCTTCTCCCAGGCCCCGGGAACCCTTTCCTTCAGGAGAACGTGCCAGAGACACATCTGCGCCCTGGTGCCCGCAGTGTCCTGAGCACCGTGAGCTGCGGTGGAGATGGCAGTGGCGAGCTTGGACCCCTGGTATCGCCGACAGAAGCAGGTAATCTCAAATCCTTGGGCCGCCTATACACTGGAACTCCACTCCCACTAGAACCCAGGAGTCTGGAACCTCAGTCCTTGCTCTCCAAAGGGCCCCCAGGGGCCCCGTTTCCTTCACACCAAGGAGTCCAGGTCCTGAACCTTCTCCTCCAACACGCAAGAATCTGAATCTCCAGCCTTCTCCTCCCCCAGTATTCAGAAATCCCAGTCTCCAGACCCGCCCCCCCCATCCTGATTACCAGACAGTTCCGATCTCGAGTTGGAGGAAGTCTCCGTGGAGGATATTGCTGCCTCACCACCTCCTTATGAAGAGCCTCCGGGGACTCGGCGCAGGGGTTGGCCAGCCTGCCAACGACCTGGTAATTTCTGGGACATTGGGTGAAATCTGGCCCCCTGGTCCATGTGGCAAATCCTCCCCCTTTTTGGTAACAGCTTTGTCGAGATATATTTCACATACTATACAATTCACTCATTTAAAGTTTGCAATTCCATGGTTTTCAGTATATTTACCAAGATATGCAACAATTACCACAATGAATTCTAGAACATTAGCATCACCCACAAAAGAAAGCCCTATATTTTACCACTCACCCCCCCCCCCCCACAATTTCTCCCAGACCTGAGTAACCACTAATCTAATTTCTGTCTCTTTAGATTTGCCTATTTTGGATATTTCTATATTCATATATAGAATAATACAGTATATAATCGTTTGTGATTGGCTTCTTTTGCTTAGCAGGCTTTCAATGTTCATCTATGTTGTAGCATTATCAGTATTTCATTCCTTTTTATTTCTTAGTATTCCACTGTGGTGACATTTCCTTTTATTCTCATGACATGACCAACGATTTTAATAACAGGACTCTGGGTTATCACTCCAAACTCCGCTCCCTCCTCCCGGATGCTCTCTCTGGGAC